TTCTCATGTTATTGGGCCTTAGTGGCCCATTTATATGGTTGATAGGTCCTGAATACTATTTATATGTTTATTGGGCCTGAATGACCCATTAACATGCGCGACAGACCTTGGATACTATTTGCATGTTATTTGGGCTCGTAATTACCTTACATGTGAAATGAGCCTCGGTTGTCATTTTACATATATTTTGGACCCATGTTATATAATCTCGTTCCTTTCGGGCCTGGAAAAGACTCACATGTTTAGCGAGCATCTGTGGTTCGTTTACATGACTCAATGGGCTTGTATTGAGTTTTATATGTTTCTCTTCGCTTAAATTCGATTAAGCATCTAGTGAGACATGTCGGATGACACCTATTGAGTCTACGATCGTAGCTTATAGTTATAACCAGAGTCTCTTAGAGGGAGAGCGGAGGTTTGTGTATAGATATATACGAGGGTGACACCCCACACCTGGGTTCGTTATAGTTAGACTACACCAGTCTAGGGTGACGAAAATCTTATTCTATTTTCTGTCGGCGTTCAACAACGCCAAGACATGTGAAGTTGTCATAAATTAGTATGGTTATAACAACTCACTTAGAGGAATTAACGTTATGAGATTTATGGGAGACCATTCTATTTTCTCTTTGGATTACTCAGGGACATACTCGCACCGGTACTCGACCTCGGGGGTTGATGTACTAACATTCTTTTTACAGGCAACATAGGGTTGTCTGGGGGCATTCTCTTTACAATCTCTTCATTTAACATTTGGAATTCTTTCAAACAAAAACACACATGCATTAATACAAGATCGGACACAAACATACTCAACTATTTATAAAAAAATACAGGATTTTCTTGTGATTACAAAGCTATACAAATCATTTTCTCAAACATGCTTATGAACTCACCAACGTTTTTATGTTGACCTTTTTAAATTAACTTGTATTCTCAGGAAACCGTTGAAGCAAGTTGAGCTGAACAAACTAATAGATGTGTTGTTATATTTTGTTTCATCATACTTATATTATTTTGGCATGTAATATTTAAGCACAATACTCGATGTAAACAATGTATGTTGTTATATTATATGTGTGATGATGATGATGTTATGTTTCAATTATATACTATGTGATGCTACTACAAGGATGAAGTTACGTGCAAGCCCCCAGACGTTTCTGCCGTCTGGTTCGGGGGTGTGACAAGTAACATTACATAATTCATATGATATGAATTAATAAGTTGTGTACAACTTTTTTGGAATAATTGAAAACATTTTATCTTTTACTCAAAAGACAAAGTTTATATTTTATAGGGATATCTCCAGAAAAATCCTGAAATTTTGGACAAATTTTTAATAAAGTCCTAAATTTTATTTTTTGAATAAAAAAGTCCCGATTTTTTCACTTTTTGAATAGAAAAGCCCATGAAACCGATTAATTTATTCACTTTAGTCCTTTTTGACATGTTTAGCATGTCATGAGACCAAATTGTTAATTTTTCGAAAATAAAGGGACATTTTTGCAGATTTCGTCAAAATTTTTATATAATGTATAAACATATTTTTTACATATCTAAATCTATTTTTATGTATTTTGTATTTTTTATATTTTTATAAGTATATATTTACGTATTTTTATGTATTTTAAATGTATAAACGTATTTTTTTTACTTATTTATATGTATTTTTAACCATTTTACATATTTTTTATGTACTTTTATGTGTTATTTTTTATATATTATGTATTTATATGTATTTTTATATATTTTTACGTATTTATGTATTTTTAAAGCTTTTTATATAGATGTTTATGTATTTTAAGTGTATAAACGTATTTTTTACGTATATATATATCTATTTTAAGTATTTTACATATCTTTTATGTATTATGTATTTATATATTTTCTTAAAGTTTTTTATATAGATGTTTTTGTATATTTATGTATTTTAAATGTATAAATGTATTGTTTTACGTATTTATATGTATTTTTTAAGTACTTTACATATTTTTTTTGTGTTTTTTTTATGTATTATGTATTTATATATATTTTTGCGTATTTATGTATTTTTTTTAGTTTTCTTATATAGATGTTTATGTATTTTTATGTACATTAAATGTTAAAGTGTATTATTTTTACCTAAAAATATATAAACACGTAAAAACAATACAATTAAACATTTATTATACATAAAAATACAAAAGCATCTATATAAGAAAACTAAAAGTATACATAAATACGCAAAAATACATATAAATACATAATACATAAAAAAATCAAAAAAATATGTAAAATTGTTTAAAAAAATATATGTATAAATGCTTAAAACAATATGTCTATATATTTAAAATACATAAATATACAAAAACATCTATATAAAACACTTAAAGGAATACATAAATACGTAATACATAAAAAATATGTAAAATACTTAAAAATAGATGTAAATACGTAAAAAATACGTTGATACATTTAAATACATAATACATAAAAAACACATAAAAATACACAAAAAAATATGTAAAGTACTTAAAAAATACATATAAATACGTAAAACAATACGTTTATACATTTAAAATACATAAATATACAAAAACATCTATATAAAAAACTTTAAAAAAATATATAAATACATAATACATAAAAGATATGTAAAATACTTAAAAATAGATATAAATACGTAAAAAATACGTTTATACACTTAAAATACATAAACATCTATATAAAAAGCTTTAAAAATACATAAATATGTAAAAATTTATAAAAATACATAATATATAAAAAATAACACATAAAAATATATAAAAAAAATATGTAAAATGGTTAAAAATACATATAAATAAGTAAAAAAATCTGTTTATACATTTAAAATACATAAAAATACGTAAATATATACTTATAAAAATATAAAAAGTACAAAAATACGTAAAAATAATATAGATATGTAAAAAATATGTTTATATATTATATAAAAATTTTGACGAAATCTGAAAAAAAGTCCCTTTATTTTCAAAAAATTAACAATTTGGTCCCATGACCTGCTGAACAGGTCAAAAAGGACTAAAGTGAATAAATTACCCGGTTTCTTAGACTTTTTTATTCAAAAGGTGAAAAAGTCGGGACTTTTTTATTCAAAAAATAAAATTTAGGACTTTATTAAAATTTGCCCAAAATATCTGGACTTTTCTGGAGATTTGAGTTTATGAAATTTAAACTAACTTTATTATTTTTATACAATTTTTGAAATTTCCATCAGAAGAAGAAAAGTATGAGCTTTCCATTAATTTATTCAAAAGTAATGAAGCATGGGAGACATGTTTATGACATGGGGACATATGTGCTTAAAGTGTTAAGATCTAATGGTTAATACTTTCACTTTATGCATATAAATAAGGGCTTGTATTTGGCTAGTGTGCTCATTCCTTACTTGGTGCAATTACCGAATTCTCTCCTCCATCTCCCTTTTTCTCTAGTTTTGGTTAGAGAAATTGAAGAACACTTGCATCTTCATGCCCTCTTTAAGTTTATATTGGTTATGAACTTACAACTTAAGGATTTAAGCATTTTGGGCTAGCATCTACGTCAAGTTGAGTTATTGTTGGTATCTCAAAGGTTCCACATTCTTCATCAACTTCTAAGCCTCCCAAGAGTACACAAAGAACTACAAAGGTTGCTATTTCTTCATCCTTCATTTGGTTGGTGTTTAGTCTTTCTATAACTTGCAAGAAGATCCTTAGTGGGTATAAAATGTTTATGTTATTTCAAAATTAAAGTCTTCCGTTGCCATATTTTTCTAGTTTATGAAACTATTTTTGAACTAAAATCCAACAATTTATTGATTTGATTATTATAAAAAATAGTTATTTATTTAATTTAATAAAAAAAAGAAATAGGCCCTAAGCTTATTTCATCTCTCTCCCCCCATTTATTCTCCACAGTTCTTCTTAAACAGTATTACTATCGGCTCTCTCATATCCACCAATATCACCGGCGGCCCCACTACTCCGACGACATCTCCGACCTCTCTAAGACACCTTTGACAACACTATGAACCATCACCCACCACACTTCACTACACCCCAACCCACCCTACCCTTCAATTTCCCCTTTTACTCCTCCTTGGAAACGAAGTCACCGAACTAGGTTAAAACCAAGTTACATCTCAATGGCGGTGTCGATAGTCGATGGTCTCCAGATCTTAGACACGATGGAGGCAGAGATCGATCTGGATATGTCAAAGCCCTAGCTGAAGTGGATGGCGACGATGCAAATGTGACAAACCCTAGCCGACGGAGGTGAAGGTGGCGGATTGGAGCCGATGGCGATGATTACTTGTAGGGGCCGCCGCAGGTGGTTTGAAGGGGATGAAGACAACTTTAGATGTACCTCTACTGGCCGGATTTTGACTGTGTTCTTGGTCTTTGAAGGTGGTTAATGAGACAATAGTTTTACTCGATGTGGAGGCTCTAACTCTAGTTGTACCTCGAACACATTCACCTCTAGACCTCAATTCTACCTACTGTGCTTTCTTGTCTCGAGAGATTAAATCCAAACTTCTCAAATTCTTCAAAATCTTCTTGAAAACTGGTTATTTTTGTCTCCACCAATTCATCCATCTAGTAACGTCTCCATAAAACTCTTACTGGCTAGATGAAATTCTTTCAAAATGTTCAAATATATTCCTGCATTTCCATGAGGATCGGGAAAGCTTCTTGTGTTCACTGAAAATGTTTTATCCTTTTACTTGAATATTAACGAGAGAGAGGGCCCACTCTAGTTTTTATATATTATAATTATTAAAGAAATAAACAATCCAAAAGAAAATAAACAATGGCAATATAGTCTTTTTAAGGGATGAAACATGTAGATTTAAACTAACGAAAGATGAAACATACAATTTTTAATCAAACACAGTCCAGTTAATTTAAAAAAAAGTGACTAACCTTGTATTTTGGCAAGGTATGATTCGTATAATTTACTCAATAATAATCACGTGGAAGATAAAGAAAAAAATAGTAGGCTGAATTTGACGATGGAGATGTTGTCTACTGCTCTAGAATCACAGAGTAAACACTACACACCACACAATGCTTCGAGCTATTACTCTCAGACACTTAATTGTTCACACTCCTTGTTCAATTACCTCTTGTAGATACGTAAGCCTTGATATTGTATTCCGAATTGATTGCTCCTTTTAAGGTTAATTATTTATTTATTTGGTTATCGATTTTAAGTTGCGTTTTCATTGCTGTTGTGAATCTCATCTAATTCAATATTTTTTATTTATACTATTGGTTATTGATAGCAAACTACTCAAATCACTTAATCGTTGATTCATATTGTTAGTTTTTGTCAAATTCGTGATGGTCATATGTGTTAATTGCTTGCCCTAGCATGCTAATGGTTGATTAATGGAGTGTTTGGATGTGGTACAAAAGAAAATATGCATATGATTCTGATGATTTATTGGGGCACAAATAACTTTGAATTGATGTAGCTGATTACCTATTTTGAGAAGTCGTAGTATAATGAATTTGGAAATTCACATCCAAAAATACTTTGCAATCGGCGTTTTAGAAGCTGAGTAGTTTAATTGCCAATTTTACATCTATGTTAATGTTATGTATCAGAGAGGAAATTTGTTATTATGTTAATTGTAAGTTGTAGTTTCTGATGTCATCCTTTCTGTTGCTTGCATAGTTGGTGCTACTCGTGCTGCTGTTGATCCATGATATGTTTCCAATGAGCTCCAGGTAAAGTCACATGTGTTTTTTTTTTATTGTCATTAAAGTACATACTGTCTATAATCTGGATGAATGATGTGTAGTATAGGTTGGGCAAACGGGGAAGATTATTGCTCCAAAGCTTTATATGGCTTTTGGTGTGTCCAACATATTGCTGGAATGAGAGATTCCAAAGTCATTGTTGCAGTAAACAAAGATGCTAATGCCCCAATATTTCACGTCACTCCTCAACCCTCTCTAATTTTTTGGGTCAAAAGTATATAAAATTTCATACCTTTTTCAAAATTTTAGTTTATACCATGACCCATTTTTTTTACTTTTGGAAAAGTAACTAATCAATTGCCAATAAACTGATTTATTGGCAACTTGAAAACATGTGTCAACCTGAAAACACCATCATTAGTTACTTTTCAGGAAACAAAAACAAAAAAAATATATGTTTTAGTATTTTTTTAGTTATTTCTGTTATTATGTTTTTCTAATTATGTTTGTTATTATATTGTAAATTTGTAATACTGATGATAATTTATTTTTCAAGTGCAGGTTGCTGATTACGGACTTGTAGGTGATCTTTTTGAAATAATACCCGAGTTGATAGAGAAACTCCCGGAGAAAAAATAACTTACCGAAAAATTATTTTTAAGTCTTCTTTTGTCCTAGCATTAAGAAGATATTATGATTCAACTCTCTATTTTTGTCGTCCGTTCCAAAAAAAAAAAAAAAAAAAAAAAAAAAAATCAACCTTGTTATCCTCACCCTTGGTAGTCGTGTACTCCTTTGGCTGTTTTAGTGGCATGTTCAATTTAATGTGCACATTCATGATTCATGTAAGTTAATGTGAATAAAGAGTATTGAAGCCAACCCACAGAACCAAAAGGACACAGATGAATTTGATAGATTAGGATTAAGAAAATAAATTTGAATATGGTAAAAGATGTGAATGGGATGCCTGTTTCTTTCCTATATTAAATGCCGGGTGTGTCATGTGTCATGTATATTTATTGATTTATTTAATACAGGTGATTCAAGGTCTTCGCTTCCGTCCATGTCTCTATAAGAATGGCCACAACCAGAGCTGCTTTTACTCCTCATTTCTCACTCATTATGTGTCAGAATTCGAATTAAACGGAATATTCAATATTTTGGTTTTGAATTTAGTGGGTGTTATAAATTATAACCTTCCATGTTTACTGTCATTTTTAATATACCTTATTTTATTTTACTAACTAGTTTATAATATGTGGGAATCACGGTTAGAAAATTAATTAAATTTTATAAGTAAAAATTCAAAAATATTAATTAATAATTTTAAATAACTTATTAATTAAAAGATATTTTTTAGTTATATATAAAATTATAATCGTTGATTCAAATAAATACGTAAAATATATTATCTTATAATTTGTATAAATTTTATTTTATTATAATTGATATAAATTTTATTTTATTTTTATTCTAATATTATTAATTTAATGTAATTAAAATGTGATTTAAATTTTGAAATTTAAAATTTAAAATGAAGAATTAATAGATTGACAAGTATCATGATATTAATTATGAGTATCAATAAATTGAAAAATATCATGATATTAATTACTATACTTGTTCTTCTATAAGAATATTAAAAAGAACATTGAACTATATACAAATTGGGGTAAAGATTTATTGCAAATATTCAAATATTTATACAAAATGCCATTTATCATATTGACATTTTTAAGTTGAGGATACCATATTATTTTATTTTATTTAATTTGAGCTTTTGTAGAAAGAATCACACCTTTTACTGTACGTAGACCTAGTACAATAAAAAACAACAATGTTTAAAAATTGGTTTTACAATGTTTAAGAATGAAAACTGTATAAGTTTATTAGTGAAATTCATGTGATTCGAACTTTTTATTAGAAGGTTAAATCTCAAGTGATCATCAAAATCATCATGTGACTGTTAAATTTTATTATTTTCTCAGAGTCTTGATTAATTTTTTATTTTTTTCTAAAATGTTAAAAACTTAATAACATACTTGTAAGATGTTAGAGTAATTATTACAATGAACTACAAAGTTAGATGTATTCGTCCAATGATGATTTGCAACATATTTTCTTGACGATGGTTTACATATATACGCACATTAAGCAAAATTAAAAAGCAAATTAACCCATGCTTATTATGAAAATGCACATTATATTTCAACATGGTTTTGGATTAATTGCTACTTGTTTCGAGTTCATTATCACTGATGAACTGTTTCAGGAGTGATAAATTTCATCAATCTCATCATATAGATTTTTGGATTTCTTTTGAAAAATTGATCCACTTTCAAAGAGCCGTTCATCAAAGAAAAAAAATTTCAAGAAAAATAGTTGGCCAATGAAGATAAAGGTACTAAACAAAGCCCACGTTTCTTCAACTCCATATTTGGATTAACCTTTCTCTTGTTTCCTTCACAAAACCCAACCTTCTCCTACAAAATCCAATCCACATTTGCAAACAACTAATTAACCTTTTGTTCCATCATATGTAATTTCTTTAAGTCAAGATGTTGTGAAAATGGAAAAAGAACATCACCCTTTATAAAAAGCAAAAATGTCAAAAAATTATAACGTTTTTTTTTTTTTTTTTTTTTCATTTGGGTAACAAGACCAGAAGAGGATAGGATTCTTTTAACTAACCTGATCAGAGATGTCCATGAATTTAGTGTTCTTGCCTTTGTTCTTGATTTTCACTTGATCAAAATAAGCAACCTTCTTGAAATAACAAAACATGTGTCAATGATCTTTGTATATAAAGTGACAACCATATAAAGACCCGAGAAAATGTAAATCCCATTACTACATTAAATCCCATTACTACATTAAATCCCATTAATGAGTTTTAATGGTCGATATTAAATTGTTGAAAGATAATTAAACGCATGAAGTCTAACCTTGGGACTACATACAGGAGAACTAGCAGTATCTTCTAAAGAATCATCAACCATTACTCCAATGGTTTTCCTCTTCTTGAATCTCAGTTTCTTATCTTGATCATGATCATTTCGGATCTTGTTGATAGCCAAAGAAGAAGCAACATGAGGCACTCGAGAATTTAGGGTTTCATCATCACAACTCATGATCATTTCTTCATCATTTTGCCATAGAAACTCCTCGAAGTAACAGGTCCAACTGCTTTCTTCTTGCTCATCAGCTAAATCATTCATGGATGGTTCTTGAAAATTCATGTTTTCAAGACACATATGTATATATATGAAGCGAAGAGTGAATTATTAGGGTTTGTCGCAAAGCCCTTAGTTCTGGGTGTGATAAGTGGTATTATATATAGAGCTAAAGTTTCATAAATTTAAAGAAAAATAAACTTAAGAACATATATGTGTTGGAATCTCGATTGTAGCCTTATATAGAGAGTTGAGGGAAAGTTTTGACCTTTGTTGGTTGTGACTCTTGAATTAGATTATCATTAATAGACCATATTTCAAACCCATTTTCTTTCCACTAATGGTTTGAATGGGTCACCTTTTAAATTAATCTTTTAAAAAACTGATGTACGGATAATTTTGTTAAAATTATTCAAGACTATATCCTATCTTGTGAGTATATACCGTATATTATAAGGTGGTAAAACACTAAAACATGATCATTAAACAAACTGATCGAAATGGTCGTTTCTTAACTTTGTGCGAAAAAGTTATTTGATTGTTAAAAGAAGATAGATTTTGTGATTTATTCTAATCGGATGGATGTGTAGTGTAATTTGGATCATATTATAATAGAACGAAACTTTTTGAACTTAACTTAAATTTAAGAAAATATAGGCCGAAGACACGTTTTGTAAGAAAACAATTATTTTTCTGTTTCTTTTCTCTTTATTATGTATGTTATAAAAGATTAAACATATGGTTTTGTTTTCGACGCCACTATAATTCATGAAAATGGGCGTTTGACCCTCGTATGACTTTAGATGTGCTGACAAATCGTTTTACTTGAGATAATATAATGTTTTGGATTTTACACTTCTTGCAAACATTATTATCATCATGGGTATGACATCACCCACAAATTTAAACGATCCTAATTGTTGTGGATTAGCCTATGACTTTATGAAACACTTGTCATATTTTGGTTGGTAATGGTTGACATTAATTTTATATATAAAATATTATATTATTAAATTATTATATCCATTTCATCACTCCATCTATATTAATTATTACCGATTTTTGTCATCTTAAAGGAACTTTGCAACTCATAACTTGATGTTTATTGAATAAATTTAGTTAATTAAAAGTTAAAATATTGTTGACTAAGTTTGCCAATCTATTGTTGGATGTCAAATATATATACCACAAAAATCAATATGTCACAAACCATATCAATAAACCCAGTAGCCAATATGTTTGACAACAAACATATTTAGCTGTTAATTTTTTCGGAACCGAAATACACATATAAAGCTGACAATTGATTGACATAGGCTAGGTTCGGGTTCAACCAATTTATTAATTGGATTGAATATTTCAACTCAACCCAATATTTTTATCTAAATGGGTGGGTATTTCCAACCCAACCCAATCTTTCAAATACATAGGTTGTCATCAGATTGACTTGTTTATATAATTTACAACCTAACCTATTAAATAAATAGGTTAAACTTGAGTTAACCCATTTAAAATAAAAAATTTAATAAATTAACTAAAGAATACACAACTTAAAATAGTTTCAAAATTAAATAAACTTTGAAAGTATAATAAAAGCACAGTCTCAATTCGTAAATACAAAGAAATTGTTCAAATAACATTAAAAATATGCAATTTCGAAATAATTTCAAAGAGTGACAAGTGTTGTTGGCGCAAAAAAAAAAAAAAAAAGATAAGAATTATGATTGCATTTTTTAAAAATAAATATCAATACAACGTTGTAATTTATAAATTAATACTTAGATTAATACATCGTAATATTTAAATAATTGTTAAATTAAATATATATTAAAGTTAAATGGGTTAGAGGGTTGAAAATGGGTTGATAACTTTTACCCAACTCAACCTATTTAATTAAATGAGTTAGACGGGTTGATGCATTTAACATAAATGAGTTAAAATCTCAACCCAACCTATGAATTTTGGGTTGGGTTCGGGTTAGATTATTTGTTATATCGATTTTTGCCAACTCTATATACATATATAAATGTCGTAACTAGCAAGACCCTACAGGACAAGAAAAAAGTACAATTACAAATTTTAACTTCTTAATACGATAACAAATTTTAACGATCTTTATATCAACTTTTTTGTTTTTTGAGTATGCCATAATTTTCGTTAAGATTACCCTCGTCAAAATGTAATACATTTTTACTTACAATTTTATACGAAAAACATCCATACACACATTCATAAAAACCTTATGGATATAAAGATCGTACGTAAAAAATATATTACTTTTAAAAAGAGTAATCTAAATGAATGCTGTAGTAGACTAAACTAAGAACATATGTATATAAAGATCGTTAAAATATGAGATCGTATGAAGAAGTTATGATGTTCAAAACACATTACCTAAGCTATCAAGTAGTCAAGATTGCGATTGACATAAGCATCAAAAGTCCCAAACTTCTCATTAATGATTGTCCCACGTAAGATAGCGTGAGAAATACATAAAGAAATCATTCATCGGTACTGAATAAGTAAAAAAAAAAACAAAAATGAATTGTTTTGCAACAAAAAATATTAAGGACTAATGTGTACAAAAATATTAAGACTAAATATGTACAAAATGAGAAATATATTACCCTATTAAGTCATTTTTTTTAACGGCTAACCTACAGTAGCCGGTCATAAGAACCGAATTAACAAGTTGAAGGGGTAAATGTGGACGAGAAAAACTCAGTGATTAAATATATACAAATCGAAAAATACATTACCCTTTTAAGTCATTATTTCAAAAGGCAACGAGTCAAAGTATTCAACCACCATTCCTAATATATCTAAGTAAATTCTTGTAAACATCGACGTGTCTATGGTTCACTATTATTAAGAGATAATAAACCCACTAATAATGACGATATGAATTACCCTCTTGATGTTGAACTTGAAAAGGTCTAGTTAGGGGTATACGTGAGACAAGCCAACTCGCGAGAAACTCAAGACCAACTCGAAAAATACTCGAAATCGACTCGATCTTAATTGAACCGAGCTCGAGCTCGAGCTACTCGAGTACCTTGTCGAGCCGAGCTCAAGTACAAAAATACTCAGCTCGTAAGGCTCGCGAGCTTAGTCGAACTTAGTGTAATTTACATATATTCCATTTCTTTATAATTGCTCATTTATAACATATATGTCATTTCTTTATAATTATTCATTTATGACATATATGGTTGATGTTATATTGATATTAATTGATTAATAGTGGTTTTTTTGGTAGTATGCACATTTACATGTGGAATGTTTAATATTTCTTACTCAAATTAGTGATTTTGATTTTTTTATAAATATTAGTCAAGCCGAGCCAAGTCGAGCTCGAGACTGTCGAGTATTTCACGAGCCCGAGCTCAAGCTTAAAATCAAGGATCGAGTTGAGTTCGAGCCGAGTTTCGAGCTCGAGTATTCTAGTCGAGCCGATCTTCGAGCTTGGTAGTATTCGGCTCGACTCGGCTCGTTCACACCCCTAGGTCTAGTCATGATAGGAGAGTACCATATAGGTTTATCGATTTTATTATTAAAGGTAAACATAAATTTGGAATTGAAATTTTTTTGGGTATGGTAATTTAAATCCTAAAATTATGTGTTATTATTAAAAGTTTAAATACTAAATTTTTTTGGGTATGGTAAACATAAATTTGTTTCTCTTCCATTGGTTCACTCTCTTCCCATTCATTGGAAGGTAAAGGTGCTCCATCATCATAAGGTATTGGATGAAAGGTGGTTGGATTTATAGGATAGTAAGGATCACCTATCATCCTGGGGAATGAAACTTCCTCTTCTACATCTGTATCCTCGATGATTATCCATTCTCGTGAATGTGCCATATCAAATTCCTATATATTTTGGATCATCAAGAGTTTAATCTATCAAATATTTCTCCCAAATTAAATATTCCATATGATCTGATCATAATAAAATGTAGTTGCGCACCTACACCTAGTTGTGATAGGATCTATGCACATATAAACTTTAGTTGGAATATTTGATCTAAATCCTTGAGATCAAAAACATTTCGGGTATTAAGGTGTATTCTCTTCGCGAGTCTGAGTCTTTATATATGACACTATATTCTTATTTATTGTATTCATGCTTTAATTATTGTTTGTTACTTTAGTAGAATAATTAATAATACTTTTTTATCGTAGGCTAAGGGATATATCTATACCTAACAGAGTAAGCCCTAAACTATAGACGTGATTTCCTAAGAAAGTACTAGTTCACTATAGTTAATAGCTCTGATACCAAATCTGTCACACCCCGGCTGTCGGCGGAAACACCGGGTGGTGTAACGTCATTCTTCGTATCACAGTTATATAACATACATTGAACAGTATTAAAGAAAATACATACATTTATTGATAATTGAAAGTTACATAACTGTTTTTCTAGAACCTATTACATAATATCCGACTATTGTATATTTCTTAATGAAAAGAAAGATAATAGTAAAACTTATCCTGTTCGAATACATACCATCTTTTCAAGATCCTGAAAACACATACATTTTAAAATACATCAACATAAAGTCGGTGAGTCCACATGTTTTGACTCTATATAAAAATAACACATTATCCAAGTTCAAAAGTATAGTTTTGAAAGTATAATTTTGACTCTTCAACATTTAGTGTGTATATATATATATATATATATATATATATATATATATATATATATATATATCAGGTATAATATTCTACTTATCAAATAAGTGCTATACCTAAACGTTCTTTGAACCTAGAGTATAAGTAGGGGGAAACTTCTACATAACATTAATACTTGTATACGACAAAGTATAATGTTTCTAACAAATTGCTACCATGAGCCTGTAACCGCTGCTACGACACAATACCTCTGATAAAACACACTCATGATTTCTATGAGAAACAATACACTCATAATTTCTATGAGAAACAACACCGTATGCTTCATCGATGCTGGAACAATAACAAGTAAAAGGATAGTTCGTCACTTGTTAATGGTTGACTGAAATTAACAATCACAAGTGGGGTTGTCAACCCATATACTAATTATACATGACTTCCTCGCTCACATGCGATTAACGGTTACAGTTCAAAGGATTTCCGCTAAGATCCCCAATCTTAGTTGATGAATATAATTACTCATGTAGACTTCGACGACTTCCTATAGCCCTAACAACAAAAGCATTTTCGTGTCTAAAACCCTAAGTTACTACACTTTTCTTTTAAACATTACTCCTAACT